TCAATTTGGTTATGTAATAATTAGTTTAATTAGCATAACTAGTTAGCTAAATTCATTCGGACCCTCCGTCGAGAGGGCATATGTTGTAATAAGGGTGCGTGTGTGTGTATGTCTTCCAACCCCACGTCTTTCTCCTTTTTACTTACCCGCTTTCGATGGTTAGTTTAGGGAACGTTTCAATTAGCATACTTATGCTTCACATGTTTGCATCCATTCATTTGTCTTGAATGCACCGGGCTCGGCGCATCATACTAACTGCATTGTATTTCAATTCCAATTTGAATACATGTATCGAACTATTGCATTTCACATGCCATCTTAAAATAGCCGAGCCTATTTTAGATGCATTTTCGTATGCGTTGCATTAGCCATCTTAACATGAACTAGGGTCGTGCATGATTTCTAACTAGTTCTCTGTTTTGGCTCGAAGTACACTGTGAGTGTTTATGCTTTAGAATCTTGCATGAGTGTCAATGTTGCCATGATAGCATGCTTGCCATGAGGCTAACTGCTTATGTGATATAACTGCCTGAATACCTGTCAGTGAAGGTTGGATTGCTTGAATTGAAAAAATTCATTGAAATCCTCGATTTAGCCTACTTGCGAGTAGCAAACTTTAAACTGTTTTCAAACAAACAAATATGCAATACTTTGTTCCAAATTAGGCGATCTAGTCTATACTTGTATGTTGTGCGCATCACATAGTAATTCTAGGCTTAATAACCAGAATAAGAACACATGTGTTTTCAAAAACAAGATATCATGCTTAGTACAGGCCGATTTTTTGATCGGGCAAGCGGGGGTGCTCATTACATGACCTTTCCCTCTCGTACCCAAGTTCTCGAGCCGAGGCAACTTTGGTGATAACGAACACGTGGCCTTAGGCACAAGTCAGGATTTCCTAAATTTCCCCCAAAACAAAATATTTAGGTGGTGACTCTATATCTGGCAAAGCAGTCCATGTTTGGCACTTCTTTATAAAAATCAGTTTTCCAAAACGATTTGCCGGATTTAGACTCTTTGGTGAGTTATCGGTCTAGCATTTCACTTTGCGAGATCAGATTTAGAACCGTGACATTTGAGTCCGAATTGTAGTAGTAAGCCCAAATGAACAGAACGGGATTTTCTCGGGACATTCGGGCGCGTCTACAGTCACCCTTCGCGGTTCGCCCTCCTCTTAGTCAGCCATCTCACTCGGTCACCCTTCGCGATCCGCCCTTCTCCCAATCGACCATCTCACTTGGTCACTCTTCGCAGTCGGCCCTCCTCCCAGTCGACCATCTCACTTGGTCACTCTTCGCAGTCGGCCCTCCTCCCAGTCGACCATCTCACTTGGTCACTCTTCGCAGTCGGCCCTCCTCCCAGTCGACCATCTCACTTGGTCACTCTTCGCAGTCGGCCCTCCTCCCAGTCGACCATCTCACTTGGTCACTCTTCGCAGTCGGCCCTCCTCCCAGTCGACCATCTCACTTGGTCACTCTTCGCAGTCGGCCCTCCTCCCAGTCGACCATCTCACTTGGTCACTCTTCGCAGTCGGCCCTCCTCCCAGTCGACCATCTCACTTGGTCACTCTTCGCAGTCGGCCCTCCTCCCAGTCGACCATCTCACTTGGTCACTCTTCGCAGTCGGCCCTCCTCCCAGTCGACCATCTCACTTGGTCACTCTTCGCAGTCGGCCCTCCTCCCAGTCGACCATCTCACTTGGTCACTCTTCGCAGTCGGCCCTCCTCCCAGTCGACCATCTCACTTGGTCACTCTTCGCAGTCGGCCCTCCTCCCAGTCGACCATCTCACTTGGTCACTCTTCGCAGTCGGCCCTCCTCCCAGTCGACCATCTCACTTGGTCACTCTTCGCAGTCGGCCCTCCTCCCAGTCGACCATCTCACTTGGTCACTCTTCGCAGTCGGCCCTCCTCCCAGTCGACCATCTCACTTGGTCACTCTTCGCAGTCGGCCCTCCTCCCAGTCGACCATCTCACTTGGTCACTCTTCGCAGTCGGCCCTCCTCCCAGTCGACCATCTCACTTGGTCACTCTTCGCAGTCGGCCCTCCTCCCAGTCGACCATCTCACTTGGTCACTCTTCGCAGTCGGCCCTCCTCCCAGTCGACCATCTCACTTGGTCACTCTTCGCAGTCGGCCCTCCTCCCAGTCGACCATCTCACTTGGTCACTCTTCGCAGTCGGCCCTCCTCCCAGTCGACCATCTCACTCGGTCAACCTTCACGGTCGGCCCTCATCCCAGTCGGTCTTCTCTCACTCAACCACCCACAACCCCCGTCTTCTTCCTTATTCCCTGCGTTGGACTGAAGCTACACTTGGAAATAGAGGACTACTGACAACCCGCGTGTCAAGCCACGAGGGTGTCTAGTAGGCACTGTTTTAAAGACATAACATTGACTGGTTAGCAATTAATTAAAGCGAAATCATAAAAGCAATATAAGTAACTTTTTTTACACATTGAACGGTTCTACACAAATACAAGAAAAAGATTGCTAAGTTTGCATTAAAGATAATGTGCTTCTTAGGTACGTAGAGATGAGAGGTTGCCTTCAGCTTTGAGGCAGCTCCCCGTTCCTGGTTCTCAAGCCTCAGCAGATGAGCAAATAAAACTGTATCAGATGGCAAGTGGGGTTTTGAAGAGAAAGGAGCCTGATGGTGGGTGGGATGGAGATAGGATTAGCTACAAACAACCCTCATGGCAGTAGGACTACAGGGTTATGGAAAAATTTGTCAATCTTTTAAGGCCTGGTGAGCCATCTATTCAAACTTCTGTTACAGTAATTGAACTTTGATGCTGATGTAGTTTCACATTATGTATATATAGGATGCACATTTGCTCCTTTTGCTCTTGTATTTCCATCTCTAGACGCCTCACATAGTCACTGTCAGTCGAAGCACTGGTAGTCCTGACAGAGAAGGAACGCCTCAACCTGAGTCCTTTAACATATCCCGACCTTGGCTTCGGCACCTTCACAGATAGCTCCTCCGGAGTAATTGGAACCGCACCAGGTTCGGAGCAATGTTCAGCTTGGATCTTTATCATATTATCCTGTCATTTAAAAAAAAATAATTAGAAAAATGAATAAAGATACAATTAAAATTGCAATCATCCTAATACAAAAGGTAAATATACATACATAATTCTTTTCGCACTCCGGAGAAATCCACTGCTTTGTGACATCATTAAAGTGTGTAGATTTGTAAACACATGGCAACTCTGGCAGTTGGCCCCCATTTGCAATTGTCTGATTTTTTTTTGTTCAACTAGTAAGTTAAATAAGAATGATGGTAGTAGAATCATAAAATAGAAAAAAAAAAAATTAAAGAAGACACATCGCCTTGTGTACCCTATCTGGGAGAGATTTTGACCCACATCTATGCTTTGTCTTCACTTGATTTCTATTGTCAATGTTAGCTATTGATTGCTACTACAAGGACAAGTTCCAATAGAAAAATATATATATTAGGAAGACAAGGTAATTGTCAACAATAAATTAACATAAGAAAAGTTTACCAGCCAATTGCTATCATTCCACTTCTTGTCAATCAAGTTTTTCCATTTCTCGAGGTCACATTCAGGCGGTGGGTGGCTTCTAGCATACTCCTCTCCCTTAGCACTTTTAAGGTTCAGGTATTTTTTTCGTAGTCTGTACGTGTAGCTGCTCAAGCTCCGTCCACACTTTGTTGCCACCGCTTTCCTAACGTTAGTGGATTCACCCTCCATGTCAAATTGATCCTAGCGGCAGCCACAAATCTTGTAAGTCATAATTAATTATATTACATTAATTCAGTCAATTATGTAAAACTTTTACCGTTAGACGTTGAAACATAGGTGCCGTAACTTCTTCGTTGACATGTTTCCACCTGCGAATGCTAAAGTCTGGCAAGTGTGTTCGGACCTCAACACCAATTTTGGAGACTAATTGAGAGGCATGATCCCCCACTGGCGCACAATACTCCTGTGGTATGGGAACTTTGAGCTTTCCATCTTTCTCAACCATTGCTTGAACCTTTAAACCGCGTGTCAAGCCTCAAGGTTGTCTACTAGGCCCTTTTTTAAAGACATAACATTGGCTGGTTAGTAATTAATTAAAGCAAAATCATAAAAGCAATATAAGTAACTTTTTTTTGTTGTTGAATAAGTCATAAAATAAAATGATAACATATAGAGATATACAAGGGGCATTCCCCAAGCCTTACAACACCAAACAAAAAAAACTAGAGCTATATAAGAGAAACAAAACCAAACAGATAAACTAAACTAAATAAACTAGAAAGAGAATCATTCTAAAATAAACCACAAAGGAATGTTCATTTGCCACATGAGGAAACAAGGGCTATGAACATTCAATAGACTAGCCAAAAATAATACAAAATACAGTTGCACAACCCTCAAGAGAGAAAAACCAAGCAAAACTAGAGAATAAACCCAAGAAAAGCCTTGTACAAACAGCACTACTAGCAACCACACAGGTATAGCCCCAACTTTGTTCCCTACTCTCAAGATGATGCTTTTCCTTTCTCAAGTTGTTTTCTCTCTCATAGTTATATTTGCTCTTCCATTTTCTTGTTTCTTTACTCTTTCCTACCTCTGTAGCTTCTTCGTTCTTTTCATAATCCTAATTTTTCTTGCTTGCGCAAAACGGATTATGGTTTCTTATGTTGCTTCTTTGGACCAAGTTGCTGACATATTTACCAAGTCTTTACATGTCTCTTGGTTCCAAATGTTGGTTATTAGTTAGTTAGTTACTCTTCTCTTTCTTTAACTCTGTGTGTGTGTGTGTGTGTCTAGCTTAGAGCTGAGAAATGAATATTCATTAAAGTCTATTCGTTTGTTCACCTTAAAGTTCAATTTCATAAATGCTGGAGAACCAAGTAATATGTATGTATGTATGATGGGTGCTTCTCTATTCAGTCAGCTTGGAACTTGTGGAGAGCCCAGCAACCCAAGGTGCAGTGGGCTAAGCAAGCATCATATTCCTAGGATTAGTACCATTGTCTAGATGGCCATTTATAACAGGCTGGGTACCCTTGATGGGATGGTTGCCTTTGGTGTGATGGATACTTCTAGGTGTGTACTTTGTGAGGCTAATGATGAGAACCATAATCATTTATTCTTTGAGTGTTCTTACTCTTTTAGAATCTGGTCCACTATGACAGCTAAGTGTAATGTGAATTGGCCTAAATTGAATTGGAACCACCTTGTGAATTGGTTAGCTACACAGCTTACTGGCTCTTCTCTGGCTGTTACTATTTGTAAATTGGTCTTCACTTACTCTATTTACTGTATCTGGCTGGAAAGAAATTGTAGAATTTTCCAAGCTACAAAGTCTACTGAGGTGGCCATCATCAGCAGGATTAAGGAACTAGTAAGATACAGGGTGATGTCCATCACTAACTTCAAGGCTGATTTAACTAATAATTGCTTCTTGAAGGAATGGTCTCTACCTGCTTCTGTGATCAAATCTGGTAACTGTTTATAATCTGTAGGTTATTGGCTAGTCCTTTTTAAGGGATGTGGGTTGAGTGTTGAGAGAATTAAACTAGTTTACTGAGTGAGTGATGTGAGTCTTGTGGGTTGAGTGAGGTGAGCCTTCAGTATAACTAATTATTTTTTCACAGGTTAGTTCATTGCAAGTTGGCTGGTTGTAATGTAGGGAATAGAGTTGAGTGATGTAAGATCCTAAATAGGCTTGAGTGAGTGTGGTAAGCTTTGAGGGTTGAGTGATGTAGCTCTACAGTCTTCTTTTCTTACTGTGTGCTGTGCAGGTTTGGCTGGTCTTAATGTTTAGGAATGGTGGGTTGAGTGATGTAAGTTTTGTATGTTAGGTTTGTGTGAGTGTAATCCTCTATACTTGGGAATTGTGATTTGGGAGCTTTCTTCCTTTGAGGGTTGAGTGACTATGAGATACATTTTGTTCTTTGGTTTTGCATGCTCCAGTTCTGAGTTTTGAGTGTTGTATGAAGGTTAAGTGGCTGCTGTCCTATATGAGAGTCTTGTTTGCATGCTTATTTTTGAATTGTATTACCTTAGCTTGTGTTGATCCTTGTGTTTTCTAGGCTCTATTAATTCTGAGCTCTGGTACTTGGCATCCACTGCTTTGAAGATAATCTGTCCAATTATGACTAGATGCTGCTGGCTTCTATAGTGCTCTGCCTTCCTCTCTACAGATTCTCAGCTGTCTTTGCTGGTGAAGGAATTTAGCAGGCTGTCTTTGGTTCTTGTTTTATCTTACTATGTAATACATTGATATGTTTTGGTTTCCTACCCAACTGGGATGTCATTGGGATGTCTTTTCTTTCTTTCTTTTTGGAGTATGTCGCTTGAATATTATGTAGTATGTTGTGTTGTAATTGGTTGCTCCTGGCTGGAACTATGTGTTTTGATAGTTGTTGGATTGAAGAGGGAGTGAAGTTTACTGAGTATGAATTGGTGTTGAAGTCTGATGTGGTTCATGCAAAGTTGCTGTCATGTTTGGGAAATCAATCTCAAGGATTTGCCTGGTGCTTCATTTTGATGCTCATTTAGCAAGTTTTGGGCTGCCTCTTGTTCATCATCCTTGTACGGGGAGCAAATATTCCGACAAGCCCGTACTCCTTTCTTCCGAGCTCCGTTTCTGTCCGATCATCTGCGAGCAAATAATGGTGAGCTACCCGGCAGTGTGTGGCCGGAAAAACCCTCCGACGATCAAGTTAGCACACACCTTAGGATATCCTCTTCATTTGTCCTCCACCTACTGAGAAATGCCATGAAGCTCTCATTGGGCTGTTGTCGGGTTGCCTCTAGTTCCCGGATAGTTACCTCAATCTGGGTGTTGTAAGAATATTAGGTGACAAAAGCCTCATCTAACTTCTCTCAATTTTGTTTTACTGAGTCCTCCAGCTTGGCATACCAGATGGCAGCTACACCAGGTAAAGTTCTCCCAAACAAAGAATGCTTTTGAGCTTGAGATAGGTCCATGGGCTTCAGGATGTCTGAGAAGAGGCGGATATGAACCATAGGGTCACTAGTCCCATCAAATCTATCCATGTGCAACATTTTGATATGCACAAGCAACCTCACAATTATTTCTATAAGCCCATCAACGATGTCTAGAATGGAGTTGATCCTTCGGAATTTTTAGAACATTTTCTCCAACTTGGCTAATTTTAGCATAGTCGATTCAACTCCATTGATATCCGTGGGAACAGTCCTTCCATTAGTTGTGTGACAACCCTCAAGTTTTCTTACAAATTGGACTCAGGAAGTTCCTCAGCTAGCGGAGGTGGTTCCAAAATCGGATGAACGACTGGAGGTAGATGAGATGTAGACACCCCAGATAGGCGTTGTAATTCGGCAAAAGCCTCATTGTTGGCGACAATCCTGTTGGTAATAACATTCATCCTTTGTTGAAGGGATAACAACATGCTTGCTATATCTGCGGAGGTTGGTCCATTACTATTGGAGGTTAATCCGTCACTACTGGAAGTGGGTCCATCACTACTGGAGGTTAGTCCATCACCACTAAAGGTGCGTCTATCACATATCCTAGAAATTCTAACCGGCGAGGTTCGGACAATGAGGTTTTAACATTTATTCTTGTAACTGGCAGCAGAGAAACTAACACTGGCTGTCCCTGAACCAAATTTGCAATTCTATGAAGTCTACTAGCGCGAGTCCACAAAACTTGGGGGATATCAAACCGTTCTGAAGCTATAATGCCATGACTACCTAGAAAAAACAAAATGGAACTCCTAATCAGAATTTTGACAGCATTTCGGCTCAACTGATCATTATGCACACTGAACTCAACCCCTCAAAATGATATGCTTGACCCACTAATCAGATTTGAGAACCCCATATCCCATACATTGCACATAGCAATAAAGAGAACAAACACCCCAATGGAGGGTAGGGTTATCCTCTCCTAGCTTTGAAATGGTCTAGAGTTTCAATATTCAAACAAATGGCTTTATACATCCTAGAATAGGAGAGCATCCTGTCCAAAGTTGGAAGTTGCTATAGGTTTGGGAGTTTGAGATGAGTTTATTAACCATGGGATGAGTTTTATTAACTTCATATGTTCATATTCCAATTATTAATAATTCTGAAAGGTACTATGTGAAGCAAACAAATATAGACTGTGTTGTCTACTTTGGAACAATTTGATTTTACTGTTTTGAAAATTCTTTGAATAGTGCAATCTTGAAAATCAATTTTATTCCAAATTAAATAATACAACCTTCATCCACTGGCATGCATAGAGTTATATCAAATAAGCACATAGTCACATGGTAGATGCTAAACATAGCAGAAAAACACACACAAGCGGGATGGTAAAGCACAAAAACTTACATGTTTGCCGACGTCCCGTAAACAATTACAAAACAGAATTAGTAAAAACAGGCATGATCCTATCACTACAAAAAAACTAAGTTTTTACGGCTTCACATTAACAACATACAGTAAATGCAAACCGTGGTTTCTCACTTTTATGACCTTTTTATTTTTTGCATGTCGTAAATAATTTCCCAACCACGAGATGTCTATTGTGTAGGCCGTGAATGCTAATAACGATATTTTTTTTACGGCTTGCAATGTTAGCCGTAAATAATAAAACTTTCTATCATGTGCATATGGCATGCCATTAATACATCAATTGTACACGACACGAGTACAATAGTTGTTAAAAATATTGAACATTTTATGGTGCACGAAAAGCTAGCCGTTAAAATATTGCACTTTCCACGACATGCAATTGCTATCGTGAAAGGTACAATTGAATGTGGAGGACTATATGGATTATAAGGATGAGAAGCTATATGGATTATAGGGATGAGAAGCTATCACAATTGAAACCTGTTGTTCTTGATAGCCCGAAATTTTTGGATTCTGGTGACAAGAAGAATACGAATGATGTCGGTGAATCTAGAGAAGGCTTAAAGGGTAGCAGCAGAGTGGCTCCGAGGACCCTAAATTGGTTGTTTATGGTGGTACTTTAAATGATATTTTGGAGTTCTTTAGCACGAATTATGATCCTAAAGCTGCCAAAATCCTCAAGGTAATATTTTTTTGTTATTAGTTTAGAATTTGTGGTGTCTTCATCATGCTAATTAGATAAGTTTTGTGTATTGAAGGTTTGTTAGGCTCCTTCATGATTGTAATGTTGAATTTATTTACATGGTTTCGAAGTCGGCATGTAAGTGTGTTAAATTCAAGACTATTATTCGATTTGCCTCAAAGAATTATTTTTTTGGTTTAACAAACTAATAATTTTTTCTTCAAGAAACTGATATTTTTTTCATGTTCAAGAAACTAATATATATATATACAGTTTTGCTCTTTCCTTTCAATGTTTACTGGAAAACAAACATAGCCCAAAGTAATTGTTGCTATCAAGTTGTTACTTTCTTTGGTTGCTTTCTTTGTACGACGTTTTTGTTTTTTAATGTGTTTGTGTTTTCCTATATGTTCAAGAAACTAATATGGGTTTCAAATTGGACTCCATTTTTCTTGGATTCCTTTGTAGAGAAATTTATCTTGGCACTAAAAAGCTGTGGTATATCCTTTATCCTTTCGTTTTCATGATGTAGAAATGTAGTAAAGCATCTAGGTCCTGTTGAACAAAAAAGATGGTGGACCCTGTCAAGTATTTAGTCAATGTAACTTCAGAATTAACAATATAAGTTTGTTTTGAACATTCTATCTTTGCAAGAAATAAAAGTGTGTGTCTTGACAATGTGTTTCCAACTTTTAAAACTGTAGATATTTAGAAGTTTTCAGGTAACATCCTTAAATATTGTCATATGTTGAAATGTTTAATGACTATTCACCCTGAAGCTTGAGTTTTGTTGCATCCATATTACCAATCACTTTTTGCGTTTTAGAATTCACTACATGTAGATTTTCTGCAATCATTTTGAGTCCATTTTTTTACTTTTGGCTACGAGTGCTAAATATTTTATATTTAGAATGACAATCTCATTTTAATTTTTCTCTGCAGCTTGATATTTCTTGCATATGTAATTTGGTTATCTTGTCAAATGCAGATATTAGGGCAGAAAATATCTCAAACTTCATCTCTAATTATGCAATTAGTGTGCCAAATTTAGCGGTGAGGAACTTCTCATGAATGTTGCTGGTAATGTCCTTGAGGCCACAATTTTCCATTGCAACATGGTAGCGAGTAAGAAGATGATTAATGGATTCCCAATGTTGTTTGCATAAACATCAACAAGGTGTATAAATATGGCAGTAAGAATCTTCCTATAAGTTGTCGACCATACAAAATTCACACCTTTAAAGGCACTTTTGGGACCCAAATCCCTTTCCATGAGAAGAAAACCTCCTGCTACCCCAAAACTGCCTTGTATAAGGACTTACCTCAAAACAGCCTGATTTTGAAAGAGTCCAAGTTAAGAAGAAGATGGATATGATCTAAACAACCAAGTTAAGAAGTGCTTGGTGAATGTCTTTTTCCATGTCCAATTATTTAAACTGGAGACTTAGTTTCAATAAAAAAAAAAATTCCTTTCTAAATCCATTAAATTCTTATACAAATTGTTTTTCTAGTTTTGGTTCACTCTTTGCTATTATGTGTGTATGTGGTCTTTTTTACTAGAAGAGATTATATATGCATTTTTTGAGTGTCTATGGTAAGAGATTTATATATGAATAATAGATGTATCACTTTGGAATAATATATGTATCATTTTAACCTGTTGTATGGTTATTGAGTTCTGATGTTGGAATATTGAATGTACATCATTTATTGAAACTTTAGTTACTCTTTAAAACAACATCCATTCTCAG